TTGACCCAACAGCTGCCTGTCAGGAGTTGAAAGAGAAGAAGTCCGCCAACGGTAAGGGCAAGTGGCTTGGCTAACTGGCCTTCATGAGGGGAGGGGCCTTTCTGAGGGAACATCCATCCCATCGCAACAGATCAACTCGTGTCAAAAACCAAGGTACTGCAAGCGAATCCAGTTCATGATCCAGGACCGACAATACGGTAGCTCCGATGGGCTTCTTTCCTTCATTGTTGCTTCCCCCAGATAGCATGAGCTATTGGGGTTCTTACTTCAATTATAGGAAGAGCTGCCGGTGTGCGTTTTTGAATTTGGCTGCTGGTGCCGCTGCAGGTGTGTGCGTATTAGAGCTTGGGTGCTGGTGTCGTTGCAGGGTGCTGCTGCTGTGTGCCGCTGCACGCTGCTGTGTGCACTTGGGAGCTCGGGTGGTGGTGCTGCTGCTGCAGGGTGCCGCTGCCAGCCGTGTGCGCTTTGGAGCTTGGGTGCTGGTGCCACTGCCATGTGTCGCTGCCCGTCTGCGCGCGGTGGTGCCGCTGGGGCGCACTGCAGAGTGCCGCGGCAGTGTGCTGCCCACCAACGTCGTTTTGCTATGTGGGGCCTATCCTGGCGTAATTCTTCCGATTGGCTTCTTGATGAGCTGATGTTGCGCTGAGCAGAGCTGCCAGGATGTTTTGGAGACCAGGGCCAAGGGATGGACGAAGAAGGCACGCTCAGACGGTCCAGCGTGGCGCGGATGCGAGGGGGACCAACATGTGGCCACAGCAATTGCGCATAGCAGCAGCATGCCCACTCAACTTGCAGGTCGGCATTCTGTATGCAGAACCTCCCCAATGACCCTGTGCCTCTTTGACACCCTGTGCCTCCCCACCCTTGCCCTCTTCCCCATATGTGGTGCCTCACCCTGACCATCCAATCAGGTCTTCAAGGCCACCGCGAAGACCAAGGATGAGCTGCGCGAGACGCATGACGCTTGGGACCAACCTTGGAGGTCGGAGCAGCGGGTTGGGCCTTGGTGATTCAAATCCATTAAGAGATCAATTCTTCCGTTCCAACCATTGGTGGTCAAGAGACTTCAAGAGACCTGGCCGTAGATGGCGGGTATTTGAGAGTCGGAGATGTTTAGGGTGGCGACACCTTCATTATCCCTTCTCCCTGCATGTTCTTCTTTTCTCTTGGATTAAGCCTTAATCAGCCTTAATCCCCACCTGCAAGTCCTTGGTGCTCCATACTTGGCAAAAATGCTCGGGGGCTTCGCACGTGCGGGTGGATAGTGGATCCTGTTTCAGTAATGTCAGAGTAGATGGCACAAGTTACCCCAAGGTCGGTGGCTTATATGGACCCAACATAAAAGACATCTTTGGGTTCGTGCCATCTACTCTGAAACCAGTGTGATGAGTAGAAGGACCCCAAGAGAAAGCCAGTAGACTAGCTGGCTCTTCATGCGACTTCACAGCCGACGGTGCAGACCCAGGAACGTGCTTCGGGTCAACATGCCGTAGCGGAGCACATTGTGACAGGCAAGAGTTAGGGCCAGTGTTTCATGGGGCGTGAAGGGCTTTTCAAGTGTTCAAGCAGTTAGTTTTGGTATGTTTTGGTTGCATTTTCCCGTTGTCTTCATGGACCGCATCACTGTGTGTGACATTCTTTCCAAGGGATTTTGGAATCCGTGCACATGTAGCGAGTGCCGAGCCAATCCACAAAACTTGGATGCTGACTGGTCATGAAATGGCTGAGAGGATATCATTCCACTGACATTTATGTCGCTTTGGCTCACGCAAGTCGCGAGGTGTTGGTTGAATGTTGGAACAGTAGGGGTGAAGATGATTGGATCTTCTGGATACATTTCCGCTCGATCACTCTGAGCTCCCGAACTCCTGTGGACTCGTTTTGGTCTTCGCTTGCGGTGTTTGGTGTTTGGTGTTCCTTCGCCAAGGCAAGAGGCCCGTGTACTTGGGCTAGGCCCAGGCGTGTGGCATTGCTTAGAGGAGCGAAGAGCTACCCTCAGTCGAAGAAGCGTTTGGAAACACCCGGTGTCGGACTAAGGAATTGTCAAATTTTAGCCCTCCATGCCCACAGATGGAACGTTTCTTTGACTGGGGGTGCATCACGAAGTCAAGCTGGGCCTCGGAAGGGTGGAACATGGAAAGGTGAGCAGATCGAAATGACCAGATGTGAGCTGCATATCTTTAGCCAAAGAGGGCTTTTTTCACGACCCGTAAGTGCATGTGGGGGTTTCAAGACCCGTGCCTTTTTTGGGCGGGGGTGAGGTAACTTATCACTTTCACCGGAGAGTGTCAGGTCACACCCAGCCACACGCGAACGTCGTTGGCAAGGGCTGATGGAGGCAAATTTCTGAACCTCTGCCCTTTAAAATCCCCTATGGAAGTTGCCACATGAGTCATTTGCCAGCGCCCGAAACAGAAACATGTTTCTCAAGAGGGTCACGTTACATGTTGAAATTGGCAACGTCATGTGAACAAAAATCAAAGTATTGCACTCGAACAGAGCCTCGGACATTTGAAGACGCCATCTCCCTTTATGCATTTCCTGAAGAGAAGCACCGAGACATGCTTGCTCTCCAGATCGCCTGCACTGGAAGTATTCATTTTCATTTGTCTTCAACAAGGTCTTGAAAGTGTGTTGCAGGGCTGGTGGCCATGCAGCACGGGTGGGGTTGCAAATGTGGGTTGCATCTGAGCAATTACATTTGAATATGCAGGAGGTGGTACGGCATGGTGTAGGACATCCTTTTGCCTGTTTTGCTGATCTTTCCGTCCTTTCTGCGGATGCGTGTCGCGTTGGCCCGACGAATGCTTGTCGCACTGGCTACATGAAGCGGCGATCTGTCCCGAGGTGTCCATGAGAACCACTCCACTTGCTGTAAGAAGACTGAAGTGAAGACACTTCGACTCCAACGCACGAACCAGAAGAACTGTTGATTCAGAGCAGGTGATGGCGCGTTTGGGAGGCCTCCCCAAGCACGTTCGCCTGAAGCCGTCAGTTTTGGAAAGCCTTTGGAAGCCTATCATGTGAAGCACTCGAACCTCGGAAGGCCCTGCACTTTCTCATTCCCCTTGCAGCCTTCTGATGAGAACTGGACAGCGGGATTTGGTCCAAATTCGATTCATGTAGCCCCTCTTTACATCTGTCCCGTGCCGCAATCGCTCCGAACGACTTTTTCAACCGAAGGCGGCTCCTGAGGCAGTCGAACGGGCGAGTCGAACGGTTTTCTGTTTCAAACATGGGATATCATGCTCCAAGGTCGGGCTTTTCCGCTGTTTTGTTCGCCCCCACAGGGTTTGCATAACACACACCTGTGGGCGGCCTCTTGGAGGGTAGTTGTTTTTCAGGAAGAAGAGCTTACTTGGTGCGGATCATTTTCCTGAAGAAACCAAATGGTAGAGCTTTCATCACGGAAACTGTGGGAACTTTACTACCTGGTGGGAGATTCATTCATCATCCTTTATACTTTATATATTATGATCCAGAGGACAGGGTGCAACTGCACCCCTGCACCCCCCCTGCGACTGCTTCAGAGGGGATGGATGCGCTAGGTCGAGAAGCGGCCGAGCAGCGCTACCAATCTACCCAATACGTTTGCCCCCAACGAATCGTCAGCCGGGGCATCTGCAGCACCCGCGGAGACGGCGTGCCATAGGTAACCAAGAGCTCGATACCTTGGGACCCACGGTGATAAGATGACGACTCGATGACTGCAAACAACGTCTCTTTTGGTTAGATTCATGGGTTCCAAGGGAGCAGAGGGTGACCCGGGAGCAGCACGAGTTTGGCGCAATCTTTTGAGTGTTCGATTGAGACAATGGGGCCCATCCTCTGAAACAATTGCAACATTCTAATGCATCTCATCTAGGTCTGTGAGTTTGACCCCACCAGCTGCATGAGCGCCTCTCTACTGCGCAGAAGATGAGTTGGCGCAGTCTGAGCACCTTGAACGTAGCCCCGGGACTCTCGCCCCTTGAGTTGTTTGGCATCCTGGCGAGTTGACGGAAGGTCCATTGCTTGTGGTGAAAGAAGCTGAGAGCACAAGGGCGTGAATGAAAAAGATCAGGTTTTCAAGATAGGAATGCTCAATGCATACTGACCGGACTTGCTTTTCTATATCACCGAAAAACCACAGCAAGAGGGTTGCAAGATTGCGGGATCTGGAATTGGAAGGAACTTTGGGGATAGTCTCAGTTTGCAAAGGGTCAGGTGCAAAAATCAGGCCGACACTGGTCATTGCCATTGGAAAACGATAGTAAACACTGATGCGTTTCAAGAGAGGAAGGAACGATTGACACCTTTGCTCCTGGTTATATGGTTGCATTATTTTCAAATTGACGGCTCTTTTTTGAAGACAACCTGTAGACACTGTAGGCTGAATGAACGAACACCTTTCGGTTCTGAGATGTTCTCGCCAGATCGATCTACCTGGAAAACATCGTCGCGCCATCGACCGATCAAGGCTTTTGTTCGGGACTCGCCAGGACATTGCTTTTAATCCATTGCAGGTTCATCGATTGAGCTTTGGCTCCGTCTGCAATTCTTCAACATCGGTGCTGTCACCTCGATTCAAACCCGACTGAAAAGCGGAGCCGGCGCAGAAAAAGACAGGCAGGGCATTTGCAGGTGTTTTCATTTGTTGCTGAGGAAAGCTGCTCAACCGACCATGGTCTAGTGGTGAACCTGCTCGGACTATTGGGAGGCTGATGAGTGGAGAAGGGATTGATCTGTCTCCAATTCACCTAGCTGCTCTGAATCTGAATGATTGTTTTTGGTCAAGGCAGATAGATTCATGCGACATGTCAACTTCTCATAGCCCTGACGCTCTCCCCAGAGGCGTAATTCTGCGCCCCCTTCTCACTGCTATGAATGTCGACTCTGGGACCTGGCTCATAGAGGCGTTCCCCGCAAATTGGCAGACCATCGGGATTTTTGGGACAGGTTTTTCCCATTCCAGACTCCCACTTCGTTGGTGGCTGCCTTGAGGAACCTTGAGCAAGTGCATGCACCGAGCACTATTTGTCCATCTGCAGCATTTCAGCCAACGACCCCCATCGCCCGTTGAAAACGGCAGCCAGAAGAGTAGGGCTGCAATGAACGTGTCGGTCTGTGAGTTGAGCATTACTGTGGCCGGGAATCGCAAGCTGCTCTCGGATGTGAACTGCTTGGTACAGGCTGGGTTCCGACCGATGGTGCGGATGGTCGCTGCTGGAATCCCGAGCCGATGGTCGCTGGAAAAAGGGGTCTTGTTTCACTAATGAAGATGGATATGACCACGATGTTCTCGGATATTCCCCAGTGGCCACGGCGTCCGAGGTAGCTCGCGTAGTGGACCAATCCGAGGTCCACTTCTTTTGCGAAGGCTTTTCTGGGTTTCAGTGGTCGTTTGGATGCCTCTTCGGCCCAGTCAATTTCCAAATGCACCACAGCCTACGGCTCAGAATCTCCAAACGATGTCACTTGGGTTTATGCAAGTCTTCCAGGTCACCCCGCCTCAGGGTCTATGTTCGCCGTTTGAGCGCTTCCTTCCACCGTTCGCGAGGAGGAACTGCCAACCAGAACGGACATGTTCCGCACTGAGAAAAAGGCTGCACAGCTTCTCCAGAAGTCCCTTCGTCGAACACGCTTCTCCTCTCCTCTCTCCTTCCTCCTTCCACCTCCGTCGCGAGTGCCTAGCTGACCATCTCCGCTCGACTTGAGGCCGGCGAGATGGTGGCCTTGATGGGCCCCTCGGGCGCGGGGAAGACCACCCTGCTGAACTGCATCGTGGGGCGGTCCATCACCGGAGTCACCGAGGGGAACGTTTTTTATGATGGCACCTCCTTGGGAAAAGTCAGGAGCACGAGTCGGGTGACCCGGGTCGGTGTCAACGATGTTATTAACACGCCGTGCTGTTTGTTGAGTGGAGTGCCTTTATCCCGTTGTTGGGGGTCTTCTTTTCGACGAGCACAAACAAGGTTCTTCCTTTTTCAGGAGAAGGCTCTTGTTTGGCATGTAGCCGTTCCCTGGATCATGTTTCGAACCGTCCATGCTTGCACTTCGAGTGCTTCTATTTTCGGTCATTGCTGGCTTTGGGGGGACACGGCTGAAAGAGGCAATCTTGAGAGGTGATGGTTGCTGACAGTTATATAACTCGTTTTCTCCAGGGGCCCGCGTCAGCGGGGCAGTTGCCCAATCCGACGAGGAGCAGCGTTGGATACGTCACCCAGGACGACATCATGTACGAGACCTTGACCCCACGCGAGAACCTGTGGTTTGCCTCGGCCTTCATTTTGCCCAAGCTCTCCAAGGACACGCGGAACTCCGTGATTGAGGGAGTGATTGAGAAGTTGAACCTGAAGAAGTGTGCCTCAGGCTTAGCATGGTGGCAGCTCCAAAAAGTGTTCCGAAACGCGCTGGTACATGGCAAAAGGCACGCGATTCCACGACCTTTTTGGAGCGCTCTTATTGGGGGCTAAGGATGTGGGGGGGTCTTCCTTGACGAACGCCTCCAAGCTCCGGAGGTCCGCCCTCCTCTCCGCACCGCTGTGAGGTGCCGACACCGTGGTGGGCTCTCCAGGTTTGGTGCGCGGCATCTCGGGGGGCGAGAGGAAGCGCACGAACGTGGCGCTGTCCTTGTTGGGGAACCCTTCACTCCTCTTGTTGGACGAGCCCACCAGTGGATTGGACTCCAAGTGCCTTGGAAGAGGAAGTAGGGTGGAAGTAGAGTGAATTCATCGCTTCTTCAAGGAAGCAGAGGTTCTTGGCCTTTCAAGGCATTGAATTGAAAGATCCTTTTCTTGTGAGATTGGATGCTTCTCAAACTTGGAGCCCTTCCCACAGCGAGGATGTCCGATTCCTTGATGCGGGACGTGAAGCAGATTGGCCAGCAGGGCTGCACGGTGGTGGCCACGATCCATCAACCCTCCGAGGCGGTCTTCACGCGCTTCGACAAGGTGCTGCTGCTGGAGACGGGGAAGATCGCCTACTACGGTGCCTGGGGATGCACCGATTGGAACATGGGGGGCTGGTGGCAAGTTCACTGGTGCCGTTTTTCTTGGGCTTTGTTGAGGCAAGCCCAGAAGCCCCAAAAGTGACGCAGATGGGGATTCGCCCTTGATGAATCTTTGCATGAATGGTCTTAGGTTGGCTTGGAGATAGAGACAGTGCATGACAATACGATAATCTGGAACACGACACATCGTCACACTACTTCTGTGAGAATCTGTTGGAACCCGCCTTTCGTAGCAACGTTTTTCACTGACCCCTGTTGCACATCGATCACCTGCCTGTTCGCTCACCAAGTGTTCAAGATGACCCAGCTCCATCCCTCCGACCCATGAAGACGCTAGACTTGGGCCAGAGGTGCTAAGATGACAGAGTGTTTTCTTACCGAATTCACGGCCTGAACTCTTTGGAGCCTCCGCGAGCACGAAGCCTCAGCCCTCAGCCCTCCGCCGGCACGGGTTTGGCTTGCATTCCCAGGCCCCGTCGCAAGTCTTCGCTCCTCCTTGAGCTCTTTGGGCTTCGCTTGCCCCACGGGAACCCCGCTCCCTGAGCTACTCTTGGACGTGCTGGAGGTCCCCAAGGAGGAGGAGGAGATCTCAAGCTACCGGAACAAGCTGGAGAAGCTCAAGCAGATGTCCGACACAGTCAGTTGGCACTTTTAGGTAAAAGGAGTGTGCGCATCAAAAATGATGAGGTCATTGTGCTTTGTTATTTTGTTATTTTGATGCAGACCCATGTGGGTCATGCTTTCGGCATGCGTTCGTTGTGTGTGTGTGTATATATATATATATATACATATATCTATATACAGAGAAAGGTAGCACATACATTACTACATTACATGTATCCGTGCTACAGTCACCATCTTCAACACCGCACATGACCTCCCCATCCTCGGTGCAGCGTCGCTGCTGACAGCGACGCGACGCGCGCAGCGCAATCACTGCGCGCAGTCGCTGCGTGGGGCGTTCCTCGACGCTGTGCGAGGCGAAGGGCGACCATGGCTCCCCCACCAAGTCGGAGGCTCCGGTGAAGCGCGCGGGGCCCTGTGGGCAGCTGGTGACGCTCTTCAAGCGGGAGCTGGTCAACGTGAAGCGCAACAAGGCCGGGCGGAGAAGCGCCGAGCGGACCGGGGCCGGAGCTGGGGAGCTGAGAGGCAGCCAGTGGAACAATGGACACTCTTGCTTTTTGCATGTTTTTCGCCCTCCAGAGGATCGTTGATTGGGCATCCATGGCCCAGGAAACATATGGCAACTCTCCTGTAACCTGGGCCGATCGCTCGTTTCCCGTTTCCGGTGGTGTGCCAGGCTTTGACGGTGGTGCGTGCGGTGCAATCGGTGGCCTCCTCCGTCCTCATTGGCTTGATCTTCTTGCAATTGGAAAGGAACATGTCCAGCCTTCAGCCGCGGCTCTTCTCCAGCTTTCTTCTGGTCTTTGCCCAGTTCCTCTTTGCCATGTTGGGCGTGGTGAATGCCTTCCCGGCCGAGCGTGCGGTCTTCCTTCGGGAGACGCAGGACAAGCTCTACCATCCGGCGATGTTCTATTTCGCCAAGGTCTCGATTGACACTATTATGCAGTGCCTCTTTCCGATCCTGGTGGTTGCCATCAGCTATCCGCTCATCGGTCACGAGACTTTGGGAAGAAGGGTGCGAAACGGACACAGCCGTGGGAAGGGTGGCAGGTGAGGCTCCATCACCATCGCACCACTCCTTCAAAACGCTTCAGCCTAAACCATCCTAAACCAACCTTTTTATACACCTTGCACCCACCCAAGCCCTTTCAATCCCCAAACAAGTTGGGCCATCCTGCCCTATTTCTGCCCTATTTCTGAGGCTTGAATGGTGAGAGTGCAGATCGGATCTTGTGGTTCTACACCATCATGGCCGTGGTCTCCAACTGCGGCGCTGCGGTGGGCTTCGCCGTGAGCGCGGCGGTGCCCAGCGTGAACCTGGCGCTGTCCATCGCGCCGGGGCTGGTGATGCCTCAGTTGTTGCTGGCGGGGATCTTCATCAAGGTGAGGGGGAGCAATGAAGGTTGAACACGGTTCAGATTCCATCTGTGGCTTTTAGTGAATTAATTAGCAGGGTGGGGGGTGGCAAGTCTTGTGAGTTGAGCGGTTGTGGCAGTTTGCCTTCTCGTACGTGGTGCATATCGCGCAGGTGGAAGACTTGCCCCAGCCCTTCAACGCGATCAGCTACTTGATGGTGGCCCGCTATGCGGTGCAGGCGACCGTGGTGAATGAGTTCAGCTGCACGACCAAGGCCTGGATGGGGGAGGTGGAGGTACATTTGCCAACCCAGCTGGTCAAAAGCATGCTACTTTTCCAACCTTGGCTAAATCACACGAGCAGACCGAAGTGCCAGACGCCTTGTCATCACATCCTCGCCGTGGCCCCCGTTAGCGGACTGCCCGCAGGATGCCTGCAGTCCGCTGGTGTGGCGAAATGCATCGGCCGACCTGTGTGATAGCTCACCCTGTGACTTCTGCTGCACGGCGCATGATGCCTGTCAGCATTTGCGTCATCAAGTAGGATGCAGAAGTCACCATGTGAACGTGATGGACTTCGGTCAAGTCCATGTTCGATTGTTCAAGATGCGCTTTCTAGATCATTCGTTAGAAGCTTCATGAAGTCCTCATTGATGCATTCTCGGATTCCAATGCCGAAATTAAAGAGAGCTCGACGTTATGCGGGTGTGGTTTTTACGCGTTTTTGTTGTGTTTTTCTTAGATTTTGTCATGTTTTGAAAGAGTTTCCACGGTTGCGGTCTAGATATGTTCTTGTGCTCCTGTTTCCCAAACAAACCAACTTTTATTTGTTTAAAGCAACCTCTGGATCCGACTCTACCCTTCCTTGCCCATAAGCATTCTCATTGTTGCAAAGGTAGCACTTTTTGGGCTTCTCCCTCCACATTCTTTATGAAATGGGCTTCTCCCTCCACATTCTTTATGAAACGGAGAGAAGGTCATTATTTTGAAACACAATGTGCCCACCAGGCCCAACAAAAGTTGAGAAACTTGCTTAGTAGTACTGGGCCTGGATGACTGATTGGAATTGGGCTTTGCATGGCCTTCTTGACGCCCATACCCGTAATAAGCCTCATCCTCATTCTCAAGGTCATAGGGAACCACTCTGCGAGCATTGGGAGTTCACATCCTACTTTTCGCCCCCCGCCCCTGAGAAGCCCAGGCCCAGGTCCCAGTTGCTGGAGATTGAGAACTCATTGAGATTGGAGGTCTTGGAGACCAGATCTCCCTCATAGAGGTGATGACCTGGTGATGTATGATGGGATGTCGTGGAGTTGCTGATAGATGCTGGTTGATGGACTTCTGTGTGGGAATCATGAGAACTAGTATGATTGAATAAGATTGATGAAACATTTGACACATTACAAGTCAACATGTTTGCTAGACACGTTCTTCAAAACAACTAACATTTTCAAAAAAACACAGAAAGCCACACATCACAAAAACGCGTAAAAGCCACACCCGCATAACGTCGTTTTCTGAAACTATAACCCCACCCATCATGGCATCACCATTGTGGTCCTCCAAAAGCCTATCCCTGTGGCAGATTGCCTGACAGTCCACATGACCCCGAGCCTTTGATTGGCCACAGCTTGGGCCTCCACCACGGAGGAGATGATGGGTGCCGGGGGGATTTGCCCGGTTCTCTCCTGCGACGATGCGTTGGTCACCTTGGGCATGGACGAGATTTGGCCCATTGGCGACACCCATGAGGACAGCTTCGCCGAATGGGCAAGAAGGGGTAGGTGGGTGGGGGCGAATACAAGGACGTTCTGCTCCCCAACAGAAATGTTCCAGGAATGCTCCGTTCAAAAGGTGTTTTGCATGTCTTTGTTAGCTTGGGTGGTGTTTTTGGATCCCGACACGAAGACCACGCCAATTTGGACGGGTCGTCTGGACAGAAGGATCATGGAGTTCTGACAAACCGACGGGGACCATGCATGGTGGGTGTATGTTTCTGTGCGCCGCGCGCCGCGAGAGACGTCGGACTCATCGCTCTTCTTGAGCTCGGACCTGGCCCAGCTCCGTCAGTCTGAACTGGTTGCCGACCCGGCACAGCTCTTGTCCTGGAAGAGCACCCAGGTGTTGGATGCAACTCTTCTTCTCATCAACGAGTTGTGCTTGTTACGCTTGTGTCTTGCTCGTGCCACCAGGGCCCCGAGCAAGGTGGTCCGAGGGTAGGACGCGGCATCGCCCCTCGGCACAGGATACCATCTTCTACAACTTCATTGCCTTGCTCCTGGGTGGTGTCTCAAGACTTTGGGACCACCCAACCATACCCAACCAGTGTTTTTTTTCCATTTTGTCTAGGATAGACGGCTAGCATTCTGGGGAAGGCAATGGAAGATGAATGATGTGACCCGAGCACTAGAAGAATCCCCCATCAAACAAATCAACGTTGCATCACAAGCACCGAGAACTAGTGACAGCGGTTGCTTTACCAGCTTGCCGTGCGGGTGATTCTGGTCGATATCGACTTCATCCTGGAAACTTGAGGGTTTTTTTCCCGGTTCAGCAGCGCTGCAGGGGCTTTCCAAGCCTGACCGAGGCTCTGCCTGATGGTTTTCTTCCGACTGCAGGGCTTGAACGTGTTGCTGATGAGCTTCCGCAAAGCGACCACGGGCAGTTGTTTGCCATGCAAGCGCTCCACACCAGTAGCTCCAAAGGAGGTGAGTGTGTAAGGCGCTCCACAAGCGTGCTCAAAGAGCGGAATCTTAAGGATGAAAACTGCTCAATGAGCCACACTGCCCCCGGCAGTGGCTTGCCCAAAACCCGGCCTGGTGATAGTAGTACACAGCGGGTGAGAACTGAGAGGGTTTCTGGACAAGTTTCGGCAATGCACGCCCCCTTTCCACCAGAAATAGGCATCTCAGACAGAGACCGGTCAATAGGCAGAGTGAGGTACAGGTACATGCTGAGAAACGGTGTGCCCACGGTTCTCCCGCCCGGCAACAGCTGATCGCACCGCATCTCACCTTTTTTGCGTGTCAACATCCGTAGAAGAAGGAGATGCGTGGACCTTCCGTGGATGTGCTGATGTGGCCCTGGAATTCAGATGGGCTGTGTTGGTGCACGTCCCGGCGGTCCAAGTCATGCCGAGTTCACCAGTGCCATGTGGTGCCCCTTGCATTTCTGCAATTTTGGCGTGGAGGTCAGGTTCGGGTCACTGGTCACTTTGCTGCAACCCGGCCCCCGAAAAAGACGTGTGGCCATGGGTTCTTCTGTGCGAAGTGCCTGAAAGTGGATGCAATGTATCGAATCATTTTGGGAAAACGATGACATACCTATATTTATGATAGCTCCTATGCGATGTTTTGGGAAACACATGCTTGTATCTATACCCCAGCAACCAACCCCCATGATCCTCACCTGTCGTGCCTCTCGCGCTCAGCGCGGAGTCGACTTGGCTCCAAGCTCCAAGCCTGACGTGACTTCGGGTGACCGTAGAAGTCCAACAGCACAAGTCTGGACTCCAACGGTTTCAAGGGCCGGAAGTTTCGCTGATTCCGCTGTTGGAACTGCCAAAGATGGAGTAGCCGAGCCGAGCCGTTGCGCCGTTGCGTGTGGTGGGACCATCATGTTGCGCTGGGACCATCGACTTCAAGTCGGTGGTGTGTTCTGCACCCCACAGCCGTTGTGGATTGGAGTCGTCACTCTGTTTACTCTACCATGATTCAAAACCTAAGTGTGCCAAGCTTCATAGGACCGTTTGTATCCATGTCTTGGTGTTTATGAGTCCCATTCTATCCACTGGGCCCGGGTGTGGCGGTCTCTCCCCCCCCCTGGGCTCGGTCCAGCCATCCGAAGAACCCCAGGCTGTGCCTTCCCGAGCCGGCGCCCCGCTTCTTTGGGCGTCTCACGGCGCGAGGCGAGATCGCCATGAGGCCATGAGGCCACGAACGCTTCTGAGAACTCTTGTTACTAGTAGTAAGAATGCTCCTAGTAAGGCCAGGAGCCCCCTAGTTTTGCTTCTTAGTTACTAGTAAGAAGGTTAGTCGGTTAGTCCTTGCCTTTTTCCCAGATGGAGTCCACTTGAATCCAAGTGGACCCCCGGCAACACCTGTCGCACCACAGAGTCGCTGACGCCTTTCGAGCGCGGTCGTTGAGTCGCGGAACACCCAGTTCGTCGCAGGCTGCACGATGTCCCAAGCTCAGCGCTGGGGTGGGGGTGACATCCTTCGTCCATCGAAAGTGAAGAGGCTGTGCGCCTGAAGACCGTAAGGTAGACCCTTGATCAATAACTCACCTCTATTTGGATTGTAAGACCTCTTCCTGCGGGGATTTTACTAATCAAGAGCCTACATTAAGATTCTTGGTGTTGATTCACAACGCCCACCCAGGCCCGGAGATGTGTTTTACCATGGAAAACCATTCGCAGGGTGGAGAGGGTTGTGTAACAGTCGCATTAAGGTTCTTTCACATACAGGTACCCGAGAGAGTGGGCGATTTCATGCCTCAACTGGTGACTTGGGCCTGTGCATTTGAAGTGGGCCATGTTCTTTTTGATGCGACATCCGCCATAAGCACCACCAACCATAGCAAACATATGTGAAATATCCCAAGTTCCTGGAATTGGACTTGCCAACTGGGCCTCACTTGTCACATGAGGGGGGTCTGGTGTTAAAACCCATTGCCCCCTTGGACCGGCCGGCACCAACGAGACCCGTGAGGTACACCTTCTGCAATGTGCGGACGCCGAAAACGAGCGGCTGACCAGCGCGCGCAGATGACGGGGCAGACGGGCTGATCGGGCTGATCGATGGGGCTGACCGGTTGGTCCAACTCAACGGGGTCGAACTTGGAGGGCCGTGCCGGCAGCGCGGTGGCCGAGGCGCATGGTTTGGGTAGGCCTGGAAGCTCCTGGGTCAAACAGTGGGCCTGCTGGGTAAAGACTATGAACATGACCATTCAAATCAAAATGGTCTTAAGTCCCTAAATGACTATGACTGGACTCTTTTTCATGACCATGAAATCACCATGAACCAATCCCAGGGTTGGGAGGTGCCTCCTGGGATCTACCGCGCACCCTCCTCCAGGTCGAAGGTGTGCCGGAAACGGCCGACTCCACGGACGTGCTCCAAAGCGTGGGGGGAACCGAGCGGCGTCTCCGTCTCGCCGCTTCCGCGACCGCGTGTGCGCCGCGTTTTTCGGCCGGAGCTGGGAACCCACGGCGGTTCTCCGTTTCTTCTTTCTCCGTCGGATCTGGGACGTTTCCATATTTATTTTTTTTTCGGTGCATATGTTGGACAAAGGGAGCCACTTCCTGGCCCTGTCTGGATAGACTGGTCTAGTTCCCGAACCGGAATTTGGAGAGGGCGGCGGAGGGCGCTGGGAGGGTCTATTTTAGTACACACCCTTTGGAGTTTCCCAGAGTGACTCCCTTTGTCGGGGGAGATCTCTTTAGTTTCTTGTTGGTTGGTTGGTCAAGCAAATCAAGCAAATCCAAGCAGCGGAGTCTTGCGGAGTCTCTTCATGGTCTTGGCGAGTGTTGGCAATCAGGTAGACAGATGACACGTGAAGTGCAAATCCACACGAAACAGCTTCTTGGACATGCTTCCTACTCGGGGATCCTATCAATAGCATATCATCAGCTTGATACGGTAACAATGGGCTTCTATCCAGGCTGAGCGGCCAAAGTGAGGGCAGGCCATATGAAATAGATTGAACTAGAGTGTAGAGGACGAGGTGGTGGTGCTAATATTACTAGTGCAGTTTTCTTGCAGTTTCTTGAAGCCTTTTCCAAAGAAAACGTCTGGAATTCCTCTAACTCTCACACCTCACCAGATTGGTCTCTCTTAGAAAGGACGATGTTTGAAGTCTTTGAGCGGACTTCGCACCACCCAAAAAACCCTTCGCCTTCACGCCTTGACGCCTCGCGACCCGAGGTGCGACTCTTTCGACAAAACATGGGCTGGGTCCCCCGGAATCCCCCCGCAGGAGCCTCCGCCGGGACGGGGGGCCGTCGACCGGCCCCGGGCCGTTGATATTGGAGGTCTCGAGGTCGGTTTGCGGCGGGTTTCGGCGTTGCCAGAGGCGAAGGAGGAGTGGTCCAAAGGGATCACTCAGATTTTGTCCGGTTTCTTCAAGCTTGTGCGAAGGACGGGCATTCTTCCAGTGGCAGTGGGGTGGCCGAGCTGAGAGAGGTAGTAGCTGCGCCGTTTGCCTGGATTGGTTCATGAAAACCGAAGGTTGAGCCTCATCTGAGGATATCACCTCTTCTCACCGTTCTTTTTGGGAGCGTCTTCTGACCACCAGGCTGCCAGGAGTCAGACACTTTCTTGACTTGCCCAGATCTTGGACTCAAGGCGACGCCCGCTCAGCTCGCCATGCGTGCGCTTGCCGCGTCGCTTGGCGCGCGCACAGGCGCTCGCCGCGTCGCTCGGCGTCTCCTGGGGACGGGCGGCCCGGGCGCGCGGAACGCCGCGTGGCGTGGCATGAGCAACGCCGCGCGGGGCTTGGCGACGGATCGGGGGAACCTCACGGAGGCCATGTACAATTGGCGAGTGGCGGCGGTGGAGCAGCTCAGAGTGAAAAAACTTGTTTGTCGAACCACCGTTTTGAGTCACCAAGTGACATCAAGTGACCGGTTCTGGGTCTTGCAATTCCTGATGCCCTTTAGAAGAAGAGTTTCTACACATTTTATGTGTACAGGTGAGTAGCTGAGTAGGTGTGTGCATTCCACCAGTCAAGGAATGCCTTGAAGAGGATGGGCAAGGAGACGGGCCCACTGAACGTGTCAGACCTCACAGCCTTGGGACACTTGGATCAGTATCACTACGGTGGGATCGAGGCCAATGACCATGTCATCGAGCTCCTGGGCATTGATGAGACCGTTCATTGCTTGGACGTGGGTTCAGGCATTGGAGGACCTAGCAGGTATATTGCTAGTAAGACCGGGTGCCGGATTACTGGGATAGAGCTGCAGGCGGATATCTGCACCGCCGGAGAGAAACTCACAGAACGAGTGCCTGAACTTGTGGGGAAAGTGAAGTTCAAGATCGGAGATATCATTGAATTGTCCAAGAAAAAGGAGATTCCAGCAGAGAGTTTTGACCACTTCTTGTCGCTCTTGGTTTTTCTGCACATCCCAGACCGGGCGGCCTTGCTGAAAGCCTGCTTCGAGGCCACCAAGCCAGGTGGCACCTTTTTGATCGAGGATTTCGCCGCGAAGCCAGGGCGTTCCTTCTCGGAGCATGAAAGAGATGGACTCTTGAATGTGGTGTTCGCACCCACGGTCACCACGCCTGAAGAGTATGTGCTGGCCCTGCAACAGGCGGGCTTTGTCGACATTCAGGTGGTTGATTTGAGCGAGCAGTGGCAGAAGTGGACGAAGGCTCGTCATGATCTCTATGCTGAGTCCAAGGAAGAGACCGTTCGGACGCATGGGGAAGAGATCTTCAACTCCAGGTTGAAGTTTTACAAGGTGGTCATGGAACTCTTTGAGGGGAACCTGGGTGGCGTGCGCATTACTGGACGCAAGCCTGGCACCCTCGAGGCCCGCTTGGCAGCAGGAAGACAGAAGGACCTGCAGTACAAAGGCGGAGTGAATGTGGTCGAGGGCAAGATCTACAAATGAAGTGAAAAGCGGGAAAAATGAAAAGTGATGCCAGTGACCATGGGTCGTTGAGGCTGGAGCCTACCCACGTGGAGCCTACCCGAGATTGATGATGTTGATGTGTTTTGATGGCCCCAATGGCTGCCCAATACCCCAGGCAGAGTGTGGCAGAGTGATTCTTGTTGGGTGTCACCAGCCCATGAGACTAGGCGATGTTGCCATATTGGCTAGGAATCTGTTTGCAGTCTTACCCTTCAGTCTCTGAATCCTTGGGCGTTCCGTTCGGGCTGCTCCCTGAGGTTGAGGCTGGGCGGCTGGTCCGGGCCCCGGATGGCCCCCAAAAGAGCGTTGCGCCCTGTCGGTGGGAGCGGAACGATTGCTTCTGGCCCGCCACCTGACCGAGGTAAAACGGTTTGCGTCCGTTTGCGTCTGGTTTCCATCGTGGTGCGTCTGCTCCATCACATCTCACCTATGGGGATACGCCTTCCTGGGTTCGGTTCGGACAAATAGACCTGTCATGACCAGCCGGCGATCGGGTGTCTCCCTAAGGTGCACATCCATGGTGTGAGAACCTCCGGCCTCTCCCACCGGCCGCGACCAAGTGGCTGAGGTTCATTTCCTACGAGAACGGCAAGGCCGCCGTCAGCGTGACGCACGCCAAGTGGGGCCGCCGAAGGATCCGGAGCGTCGCTCCGAAGACTGTCCTTTCGTGGGGGGGAGACATGGAGAGATGTTAAGGTGGGGGTCTGCAAAAACATGTGCTCCTGCACCTTGGAGAGTGAATTCGATGCCGAACTCGATCACGTACCGAGCAGAAGAGCTCCTTCTTTCAGAAAGTAGATTCTCTTGGAGACCTTTCCCGACATGGCAAGTGGAGGGGACATTAGTCACTAGTTAGCAGTCAACCGGCTGTGACCAGCGCTACGCTGAGGAAGTGCTTGTCGGTCTGCATGTGGCAGGCCTGCAGGGCCCGGAAACCAATGCAGGTACCACCGCTCTCCGAAGCAACCCGCCCCCCCTCAAAGCAACCACTTGACGTGTTTTGTTTGGCTGAACGTCCTCAGACACCATCCTTTTTTCCAGGAGTCACCAGACGGGGTGGTGTGGCTCGTCCCATCCAGTGAGTGGATGTGACCTTGGGCACCCTTAACCTCCATGGATCGCACCCCGTCGAACGTGACGTTCCTTCCTTTTTCCCTCCCTTTTTTCACTCCTCAGCCACTTCGGCCCCCGCCCGGCCGCCTTCAGGTGCCCGGCCAAGTCGTGGTGTCCACCACAGGTGGACCCTCCGATGCCTCGGGAGGCATCCTGTTCCGAATGCCCGTTCCTTCAGGTGGAGCCGCAACTCGCCCCTGGGAAGAGCCGGCAACCTGATGGCTCCACTTGTACTTGGTGCGCCCTCCCAACTGAGTGGGATGCTTCCTTTGGTGAATGCGAGGGGGCCATGGCGGACCATGGGGGACCTCTATGAGCTCGACCCTGTTCCTGTTTGGGTCGTTTTGTTTTTTGGATCCTTTGGGGTTCCTTTGGGGTTTGTTTGGGGTTCCTTTGGGCATGTAGAGCCGATGCGAAGCAACAAGCGAAGTTCAAACATGCAGTAGGGAGCTTTGTGCGGGCTTCCGTTGCTGTGGCCCACGATGCAGGTGGTCTTACGAGTCTCATGTTCCTTCCACCATGGGTAGTGCTCCACATAGGATTCACCGGAGGACCTTCGTGGCACCCAGCTGTGGAAGGCCAAAAGTGGGCGGGGCAGTGCTAAGCTTCGGAGTCGTTTCCAAGTTCTGGCCCAGCTGGCGCCGATCACCTGGCCATTCGCCCACGTCTCCACCCGCGAGCGATCGATCTTCCGAATGGCCTTGCGCTGCTGGGCCATTGCTGGCCTGGTGAGGCAAGAGCAGGGCGGAGCTGGGGAGTGGTAGTTCAAAGGTGTGTTGATTTGGTGGATGCTTGAGGCTAAAGACCTTTCAAAAGCGCAACTCGCCACGACTCCAGGGAAACTCAAACATGAAGTGGTACGAAGTGGTATGACATCATGTTTGGAATTGTTCGGTTCTCTTTGTTGGGGGGGGGCCATGGGGGTGCTCATTTTTCCTCATCCCCTTCGCCGAGCAGCTCGCCTCAGCTTCACGGAGAGCTGCACCAATCTCATCGTCTCGCCGGGCGCGCCCGGGTCCCGAGGACAGCGGTGGGGGGAATGTAGACGATGGTGGAGTCGTCTGGATTCTATTTCAACCATTTTTCCACCCCCCCCTCTCTTCAGAGGTGTTGCAATCCGTGTTTATTGGGGGGGTTAATCAGTCAACATGAGCTGTGCCGTAGCCGGTTGATGCAACGACCAGTGACTCGCTGCGGTGGATGAGTTTGCCTCACCAGTGGTGCGGATCGGAACGGCTCACGGGATTCTTGGAGCGAGTTGGTGGCGGCCCGGTGGTCACGAAAGGTAGCATGGTAGCATGCTAAGCTGCTTGAGTTGGCGTTGCGAAGCTAAGGGCTTGACTAGCTTAGCGCAGTCAGAACGACACCTTGAGCTTAGTTATGACACCTAGCCAGGCACCTTGAGTTAGTTTTGACTAGCTTAGCTTCGTTTTGGGTGGCTCGCCGCCGCCGAACCGCCGAACCCCCTGCGGACCGTCCTGGGCGCGATGTCCAAGCGGAGCGGAGCGGAGAAGTCTCTGAGGTCTGCAGATGGCTCCACTCTGTTCTCTTACACGGCAGATTCTGGAAGTGTGCAGCTCGGCTTTTGAGGCCTGGGAACGTCATGGAACCTCCATATCTCATCATATCTCCACTGGTGACAAAAGGTGCTGAAGTTGCTGAAGGTGGCATTTTCTCGTGGCTGGTGGCACGAGTCTTGAGAAAAAGACACCTAGCCAGACCGGACCTCCAACACTTGTTCAACTAGAAGCAGAGGATAGTGGCCTCCAAACAGACACATACTTCCTGAACGATATGGGATGCGGTTTATCACTCTCGGATGGAGCGTGATGCGGTTTCTGGATCCATTTGCGGATGCAGCAGGTGCGCGGCCACTCCCAGGTATGGAACTCTGGGGCACTACCCGGCCGGGCAGCACAGCGCCGGTGCCAAGCGGCCGGTTTGGGACTGGGACTCGGGGAAGTACCTGGGCGAGATCGATGAGGCGCCCTACACCTACAACGCCCCGTGGGCCGCACCAGGGCGGACCGGTGCGCGGGTCGTTGGAGGACTGGGCTGGGAAGGGCGAGTGCGACCAGAGGACCCCTGATTTGGACCTCGGTAGTGATCAGTGACTAATGGACTTAGGCTCTTCTTTTGCAGGATTTGATTGTTTGATTCTCCAACTCTTGGTCTTGGAGTCCATGAGGTTTCAGATGGGCCCAGATCTCTGAGGTGATTGGGAACCTCAACGAACATGGCCTGGCCATTGGGGAAACCACCTTTGGTGGCAACGCTGCTTGGGTGAAAGAATTTCATGAGCCCTTTTTGGTGAGAGTTGAGAAGTTGGAGTTGGCTGTAAAGGTCATGTCTGGCTCTACCGAAGTTCAGTGTTTTTGAGGCCTTGCTAATGGATCCCCATCTTCATGGGATTCTGCGAGCAGATTCATCTGACAAGGGCACATGGCTTGACGCTTTATGGCACCGTGTGGCATGTGGCAATCTGAGGAGACGTTGAGCGGAGGTGAAGGGGTGATGGATTATGGAAGCTTGATCTGGGTGACCCTACAGCGCTGTAAGACGGCGCGAGAGGCGATCTTGATGTTTGACCAGCGCCTCGGCGGCGATTGTTTGGAGCTGGGAAGGGTTTCCTGCCGTGTAACTTGGTGCACCGGGGCCTCTGCAAAGAAGTTGCCCAAGATCTTAACATCTTGAACCAGTGAATCGTGGTGTTTTCGATGGTGTAATAAAACGCCTAGACACCTGGAGTGGACTCCAAGTGTCTTATGAGACCTTTGGGAGCAAAAGGCCATCAGCCCATGGGGGAGACAGGTCGGGTCCAGGGTCAGCGCCGAACCGAGGCTGGTGAAGGAGTACGGCTATGTCTCTGAGGGCGAGTCCTTTACCATTGCAGATGCCAAGGAGGCAGGGGTTCGCCAGGGGGCGGGACGCCGTGAAAGCGCAGAGGGCTCCGCAGGAGGGAGGGGGGCCGGATGAGGAGGTGGTGCTGTTTTGTTTTGGAATATAGATGTGTTTGGGGGTGACTTCTCGTCAGTGGTGGGCAGGGGGAGGTTGAGTCATGGGCGCAGAAAGATGGCCCAGCTGCAAGCTGTGCTGACTGAATTGCAGGGGTTGGACGGAGCCAACTACTGCTGAGATCTAGAGATATTTTTGTTAATGCGCACATAGGATTAAGTAACCACCCCAAATTAATCAATCCCAGCTCGACCCCTCCAATGCTAAACTAATTGAACACCTAGATTTCCACCTTGGCATGACCCTAATAGTTTTTTCCTGTGCAGAAACCTCCCCCCCTATTAATCAATCCCAGCTGCCCCAGAAAAAAATATAGTGTACTTTGTATTTGTAATTCTTCATTGTTTTCTTTTTTGCTAGTATTCAATATCTTCATCTCCTCATCTTCCTGGTTCTCATCCTATCCCATAAAGCTCCCTTGGAAAAACAACCCATTGATCAATCTAAAATGAACACTCATCCAAAAGTTCTCATGTGGTTTCCAACTCTTCCAACCCTTTCATCCCAACTCTTCCAAATACTAACTCCCTTTCATCTCAATTCTTCCAAATACTAATTCCCTTTCATTCCAATTCTTCCAAATCAAATTCCCTTTCATCATCAGGTCATCATCTTTATTAAGGGGATGTGGTCTTCCAATACCTCCAATCTCAGACCTTGTTGATCTTGTTGACCTTGAAGGGTGGGGGGGGGGCCCCCGTTGATTAATCCTACGTGTGCATTACTGTTGTTGTCATCTCTTGTGACTGTGGTTTCTTGTCCCTTTTGAGCAAGGCGAGATCGAAGGATACCCGCTTGGGGCCCGACAGGTGGAGCACCGTGTCACCCTTCGAAGTTTGAACCACTGTAGCGAGCATCCCCAGCATCCCCACTGTAGCGCAGCTTGAGTTATGCAGACTCTTGATTAGTAAGCCTCCCCATTTGGATTTCAATGGGGGGTCTTAATGATCGAGTCTGCCCTCCAGGTGTGGGTCTTGGAGATGATCGGCAAGGGGAAGTTCGAGAAGGGCGCTGTCTGGGTGGCCGTGCGCATCCCCGATGGCCACGTGAGCGGCCATGCGAACCAGGCGCGGATCCAGCGCTTCCCCTTGCACGACGCGGAGAACTGCGTGTTCTCCTCAGATGCCGGGTGCCTCAGGGCGGCGCAACGGGCCGAAGAGAGACCGAAGGATGAGGGAAGTGTTGAGGTTTTAGAGCCCCCTTGATGATTTAACCTTCCCTTTTGCAGTTTCCAAGTCGGTGACCTCCAGCTACCAGAAGCGCAGGCACATGGAGCAGGTTGGAGTAGCACAAGCTAAGGGCGATGACTAGGGTGGCCATCCCTTTCCAGCCCCTATGTTTGGGGGGTCAGGTCATCAGCTTTGCAGTGAAAGTGGGGCTCTGGGATGCTCAACGACCGCAGGAGGACCTAACCTTTCAGAGACCTGTCGCGGGGCTGGAGCTGAGTGTTGTAGGGATAGCCCGATGGTGAATACCTTTGCGATGCTGCTTGCATGTGCATCTCAACAGTTGCGAGCTTCGTCACTGCGAATGTCGAAGGACACTTGCAGTCGACTCAGTAGAACTCAATAACATCACAACAGAGTATAGCACAGGCGCCCATGACATCCTATGACCCTTTTTCCATTTGCTCCGCCTTAGCTCCGCGTGGAGTTTCGTTTCAGGAGTTCAGCTTCGCCGATGCCTATGATCCCATCAGCTTCACTGGCGCGCGGCTGAGCGACGCGAGGGTCTGGTCCTTCTTCTCGTCAGTGGCCTTGGATCCCTCCTTTGAGAAGTCCTACGAGAAGCACCTGGGCTTGAGAAGTCGAGCATGCCGGGCCCAGCTTGAAGTTCTCAGAGAGAAGCTGAAAACCGTTTCACAAGCCATTGTTCCATGCAATTCTGGGCGCCCACGACGTGCGGCAAGCCGCATGCTCAGCCGGATTGGGTCGGGGATTACGGTAACCACCTGCTTAGCCATGATTCGATCTTCTTCCACCGCAGGTACGTGCTGGGACAGAACGTCTCCGCTGCCGCGCGCATGCCGCTCAGCATCCCCGTGAAGTCGAAGATCTCAAACGTGGAGCTCATGTCCCACATGCGAAACCACTATGCCGCTTCGTCACATCCTGCGTCACATCCGGGGTGCACGTTTGTTGCGGGGGCGCTGCACAGGAAGGTCCGGTCCGGGACTCAAGTTCGTTGACATGGACAGGTCCTAAATGGTGGGTGAGAGGATGCTGAATTTGAGACTCATTATAATAACTACTGGCAATGGTTAATTGACAATAAATTTGATGTTACGCAATAAATGCAAAGTTTCTGCTGTCGGCATTGGCGAGACACCGATGGATGTTGCGAAGCAGAACAAATACATTTGCCATTGGTTTGATTCAAGTTTCGCTTCGTTTCGTTGGCATTATGTAAAACATTAATTATCGACATAATCACAAACATCGCAACAATAACACATTTATCTTTGATATTGTTAGAATACAATGTGTTTATGATTCGCGAAGCACTATCAAACATTGCCATATATTACATCTTAATCAACAGTGCAATCGCAATATTCACGACAGAATTATTAGAGAATTATAGATATGAACAATACAACTCATCCCGATGTTCATGGACGTGACTCAACGGGCAATTCCACAAAAAGAATCTGCATGGGCCAGGTGACCTCACCCATGTTCTCACGCCCTGTCAGCATGTCTTTTGTTCCTCCTGCGTTGGTCGTCATACGCATTTCTTGACTCACCCCTTTGCAAGTGATGCCTTGAACTGAGCTTGGGCTGTAAAAAGGGTGTGTTGGTTGCGAATCCAGTTGCTAATCCAGTGGCAGGGTGGCAGGGTATGTCGTTTTGGACGGGACGTCTCAAGCCCTTCTACACGACTACGTCCCTCTCAGGAGGGCACGGCGCTGGATTCGCGCTTGGATGTTGGCGCAGGTCCGTCCTGGAGAGTGACTGTTGAAGCCTCCGTCCTTGGTGCGGCCTCCCCAACTGTCCCCCAACGTCACGGGGATCCTGAGGTCGATTCGCTGGGCACCCCGGGAGAAGCGGAGGGGTGGTCATGGAGGTCCCACAGGAGTCTTCCGATCATTTGGCTGCTTTGACAGCTGAAGAGGCTGACATGCCAGACTGTCAGGTGGCTTCTACCGAGTGGTTACGGTTAGAGTCGAGCCACTTCCGGAGCCCTGCTTTGCTACAACATCATTTGGTGGGGATTTATTGCTCTGGTGGCGATTCGGTTGGTGATCGGTTGCGACGCTTGCTTTCTTGACCGACGGTTACACCGCAGGATCCTCGGGAAGTCCCTTCCGCGTGCGGCCCTTGGTGTGGAAGCAGGGGAATGCCAGCTACGTGCACGAACGCATGGTGGGCACTCCCCAGGCGCTGCTGATGAAGTCGATCGTGAGCGTCCTTTTGGTGCGGGATTGGGCACGCGCGAGTGGTGTTGGGAGCGATGGTGAAGAACTGCTAGGGAGTGAGTCAGTGAGTGAGTGAGTGAGTGAGAGAGAGAGAGGAAGACGGAACCGGATTCATGTGATTCTGATGGCTGGCAGCGAGAGCTTGGAGTCTGAAATTTTCAAATCCATGCTTTCACCTCAGTTTTTTTCTTCTCAGACAAGGTCAATGCTCGAGCTGAAGCAGGTAGCTGAATTCTGCTTTAGGAGGTGCTCTAGGTCCTAGGTATTTAGGTTCAGTCTGGCATTGTCTTAGCCACCTTCATAGCCAACCTGAATCCGGGTAGAAGCATCATGATGTCAATGACGTCGCACAAAGCAACAGAGCCTTCGCAGATGAAAGCCGCCACCGGCCGTCGCTGCACCAGCCATGCACCACCCCGAGCCGCCTATCAGCGTGCCTGTCGCGTCTGGGTCGCCTTGGGCGCCATGCTAACAGCACTGACGCTGCGGCAGGGGAAGGGCACCCTCCCGGCCAAAGGGCCCTGTAGCTTTGTATCGCCCGGTTGGCCTGATCGGCTACCATTAGACCGTTTTGTGGGGGTTCGGGCGGTGGATGAACGTGTGGAGAACGAAGTGGACGACTTCTACGATGAGGACAACGAGGAGTTGATGAAGATGTTGATGTCAGGCACTGGTGATGAGGCGCCCCGAAGGGCTTTTGGGGCTCAGATGTGATGAGCAATTTAGTTAATAACTAACTAGGTCTGCAGGGTCTTGGTTCCAGAGGATTCTAGGACTGCCCCACCTTTTGCAACAAAGGTTTTTGGGCCTCTTCTGCCTGGGAACAGTTCTTGCCTTCTTCGCAGTTGCAGCTGTCAGCACGCTGGTGCTGCAGCTGTCAGCCTTCAACAGCAGCAGGTGGACCTCCTGGGCAATGGCAGTTTGATCAAGACGATCATCAGCCCCGCGCCCGCCTTCAGCCGCCGGCCCCAGCTGGGTGACGAGGTCACGGTGCACTTCGTCGGCTCCTTAGAGGATGGCAGCGTCTTCGATGACACCCGCGCGCGCCACGAGCCGTACACCTTCCGGGTTGGCCTGGGCTTTGTGATCGGCGCCCTGGAGGGTTGAAGGATCATGGGAGGAATGAAGGATGGGTGACATCTCCAAGGATCATGCGAATGTGGCCCCAAAAGGACGATCATATATTCCTTTTCAAACATCTTCAAACATCTTCAAACAGGTGTTTTAATTTCGCTTGCATGAACTGTCGACGTTTACCTGGTCTACCTGGTCTACCGACCGGGCGACCGCAGGCGGATCGCCGCTGGGTGGACACGCGGATGAAGGTCATCCGAACTCGCTCAGGTGGATGGGACAAAGGCATCCCAACCATGATGAAGGGCGAGCGCTCTCTCTTCACGATGGACTCTTCAGTGGCCTATGGCGCCAACGGGGCTGGGTATAAGATACCGCCCAACGCCACGGTTCGCTTCGACATCGAGCTGTTGGGATGGGAAGAGATCGATGACCCTTGGCACAAGCTGAGGTTTTCATTCAGAGGAGGCTGTTCATGAGGCATGATGGAGCCTCATGTTGTCGCACGAGTGGGCACTGGTTATGGTGGCGAATCCCTCAAGTCATGGTCCTGAGAATCAGGTGCACTCAAATCGCCCGCAGCTCCCACCTTACGAGCCAAGGACATGGGTCCGGATGATGTGGAACCTGAGTGGGAGGCCCCGCTGGTGGGCCGCGATGACGTGGGGGAAGGTGGCAAAGACCCCTTCGGCCAGTACTCCTGGGCCACCTGGATGGTGAGTGTCAGTGAGTGTTGTTGGTGATGGGCAGCTCACGGTGGTTCATGGATATATGCTTGGGTTTTCGGACCACATTCTGGTCATGCAACCCCAGTTGTTTTCCATCCGTTTCCACATCCTCATGTGTCACGCTCCTGTAGGCCCAAAATCGATTTCCTTCAGTTCCTCTCCAGCAGTTGTCCACAACTTTCTTCTTCTTTTCTTTTGGCTTTTCAGGGTGGGTGTTGGCCCGAAGAGAGACATGACATTTTTGGTTCTAACAGCTCTGGAGGCTTGTTTTGGTGCTGCTGGTGCTTGCTTTCTGCTGCGCTTCACTCAGTAAGGTGAGAAACGGCCTGGAGGTCATCGTCAAGCTGCAGCTCCCAGACGACACGCGGCCGAAGGACGTGGCGGCGGAGTTCTTCCCGCAGCGGGTCTCGGTGGCGGTGAAGGGATCCCCGGTGCTGAGCGGAACTCCGGCGATCGATTTGGACTGGGAGGAATGCTACTGGGACATCAACCGAGAGGAAGAGATCCAAGATGACCCGCAGGCAGGGCACGTCTGGGCGTTTTGCACATGCGCGCAGCATGTGCTGTAGTTGCTCGGGGTCAATGTAACGGTGTCGGACCATGTCGTACAGGTAGCGTGCCAGTGATGGCTCTCGTTTTGGTGGGAAGTGGCATCCATGCTGTGTGGTGATCTCAACTGGGTGCTTCAGCTGTTAGTTCAGTTCGTTCCGTTCAAGCTCCTCCCGGACTCCCCTGAGGCCAAGCTTTGGTTGCTGATCCACTTGCACAAGAAAGATGCGGAAAAGGTGCGCTGGCCAGATCATCTGCTTGAGGAGCACCTTCAACTGGAGAGCTCCTTCTCGAGTTCCGCGGCCGATGAGGCCGATGAGGCCGATGACACCGTGGCGTCTGACTAGGTGGGGAGCCAGCCCGCCACAGCTTCTCTGCCACCGGTTGGAGCAGCCGGAGGCGCAGACCGCGGAAGAAGGACCTGGACAAAGCTCCCAGATCCGAGGAAGGTTCTTCATCCGAGTTGATGCCTCCTCCTTCCCTGGATCTGCCTGGCGTTCTGTTGGTTCTTTGGCTTCAAGAGCAGCTTTCAAGGACATGGTGTTGACCTGCGGCTTGAGCCCCGCGAATGACGCTTTAGCATGGTTTAGCCAGTTTAGCCAGTTTAGCCAGTTTAGCCAGTTTAGCCCTAGGCCCCCTTGGCCTTGCCAAATATGGCGCTCGCGAGAAAGCATTTGAGAAGCGGGGGTGGGAGTGGCCCAAAGAAGTGAGCGGAACCTGCCAGATTTGCTCAGTTGTCTTCGCTGCTGTGTGGGGGGCTATCATTTTTCGTGGCCTAGGTGGTTTATCAGCAGTACCGGCCCACAAGGCCTTAGCAACCAGGTCGTTGATGGTTGCAACTGGGCTTTACGGCCTCCTACACCACGCTGGACATGGAGACAGGGGATCTTCTTGAGGAAATGTGGCTGCGCCGTAGTTCTTGGACCTCGCGAGGCAATAACAATATACTACATAGAAGCACATGGGATAGTAGGCGATATACAACAAGCTTCAGTCAACCACGACCCCTTGATCATCTTCGCTCGGTGTTCTTGTTTGGAACCGAATGGACCTCCTCGCGGGTCCAGTTGGTTGGCCCTTCCGGTTCAGGCGGGGTGGAACTTCGTGGCACAGCTGCGGGGGTGGCTCCCTGGGCCGATGGCGTCTGGGCCGACGGCTGTGACGCTGTGAGGGAAGATGTTTTGGAGGTCTCTTCCATGGAGTGATTGGTAGGTCTGAAAGCGGATTTTGCATTAGGGTGGGTTGAGTTGAGGTGTGTGTGGAGTTGTGTCGGGTAGCTTGTTTAATGCTTCCTTACTATTCTATTTGTAGATATAGACTTGAAGTGTGTGCGAAAATCCTTCTATATATGATTGTTGATATTCTGTAGGGCTGTAAGGTAAGGTATTTGGCTCGCTTCTCTTCTCGCCAAAGCCTCTCCACAAATCAAAAGAGGTCCCAGATGCGAAACGAGAGGCCTTTCTATACTCTGATTTGGCACATGTTTCATTCCAGGTGAGAATCCCAAGTAGCAAAGAGACATCTCAGGCCGGGCTCCTGTGGTTCGGCGTGGACGATGCCAGCTTCTCCGTCCATGCGCCTTTCCATGGCCACTTGGGCCATTCCGAATACAGGGAGACATGACGAGGGTCACAAGCCAGAGAATATGACGGAGGTCCCAGCTGGGGTTATGTGATCTGTTGCCATTAAAAATTAGCACATCCTGACTGCATGTAGCGGGAGAAACATGCAGGCACTGCAGCCCACCACTTTTTTGTTATATAACCTTTATTCACTTTATTCTCCTTCCTCCGTTTTGAAGCAACAACAGCAGATCAGAATGATCAGATGTTTTTTTGTGTTCATTGTCGAGCAGGCTGTGGTAGGCTTCATCAACTCGTCCCTGGACTCAGGTGGCACCACGCGCGTGCCGCAGGGCTACGCGGATGGCTTTGGCGATGCCCTTCACTACTCGCGGTCGGCGTTCTGGGCCTTCAACACCGTCGCCAACTTCATCTACCCCAGGCTGCGGCCGATGCCAGCATCTCCAGGGATTCGCTGCTTATATATAGCTGGGTTCAGAGGTCATTTTTCGAGTCTGGATGGTTTTTTGAGTTTTTTTTTGTTTGAGATTTTGGATCTGTGAGAGGCCAGCGAGAAAACTTTGAAACTTCACCTGCCAAGTTTCTTCTTGAGGTGCCAAAATGTCTTCCCAAAAAACAGTTTGTTTTCGGTTTACCACCGACAAGAGTCTTCCCCTGAGTCCGTGCCCTTCTTTCCTGCCTGTCAATCCGCCCCTTCCTCCACACCTTTTTCCGGCAGGTGGTTCCTGGCGGATGCCGTGATGCACCGCGCCCGCATGAGCGAACAGACCTTCGTGGCAGAGGTGCAGGCCGAGGAGCGCGAACACAGGGCGCGAACCGAAACGAAGCGGCCAGTGATCGCACCAAGGGGAGAGGAACAGTGTACGGATCGGTGCACGCGGTGATCATTTGTCTCTTTGTGGCGCCCAAGTCATCGTCATCCTCACGGTTCATCTCTCTCCCAGATCCAACAAGGGCCCCAAATATTTGATGGCTTCCCACGTGCCCCAAATACAAATCAAGCGTAAAACGATGGGGCACAGTGGCTCAACTGGGATTCAACCGGTCATTCAACTCGATCAGAATGGTGAGCTGAACTTCCCAGATTTCTCCAAGGAGCTGCTCGCAAAGGCTCTCTACAAGAAAGACCCAGCCAAGGCCATCGAACTTTTGCCACTCGTGCGCAGCTGGGACGGATCCAATGGGATCCGCAGGGGGCAGAGAGGTGACGGTAGAGTCAGATGGAAGAGGTGCTGCGTTTCAGGTTTCTTCCGCCAGAAGAGTCGCATAACATCCATCAACATCCTATTGAACAGATGGGCTTGACGTGGCACGTTGTCCCGTCACACTGTCACCCGTGGGATGATCGAACTCTGGGTTCAGCAACAGTAGCCTTAGAACACCCTGTTTTGTGTGTCCCAAATCAAGCACTGGCACTGGGAACACCTCCTGCAGGCCCTGCACTGCAGGCATGTTGCATGTTCCATGTTGGTAACAGGCCAAGTAGTGCATTCTTCTGGTTTTCCTTGCTTTGCACGGGCCGAACGTGCGCGAACGGCATGGGCCGTGGACGCCCTGGCTCGTCGGTGCACCGGGTGACCGCACGAGGACTGCTAGAGACGTGGCGCGGGCGGAGCGTGTGGTCGAGGAGGAGTTTGCGTTGTTCGGAGATTTGATGGCCCACTTGGCTGAGATCATCGGAGCGGGTGGTAGGGCTGCGGAGCGTGGGAGCTGTGAGTGAGCGACATGGGGCGAGCAGTAACTGAAGAAAGAACACTTGAAGATGATGATTGAACATGAAGCTCGCCTGGAGGCGTGTAGGAACATTTCAGGAGACCTAGAGGGTGGGCCGTGCCGTCGTGCCAATATATGCTTCACCAGGCGCCAATCAGGAAACTAGCCAGCTCAAGGTTTCATTGCAGCCGCTGTGGGGGTCCCACTTTTCCACCCGCAGACGAAGACACATTACGAAGACACACTCAAGCACAGCCACCTCTCCTCCCGCAATGTGAAGACGATTTCCGCAGACGAATTCTCCGAAGACGAATTAGACCCCGAAGACGAATTAGACCCTGAAGACACTTTCCGCAGACGAATTCTCCGAAGACGAATTGGGCCCCGAAGACGAATTAGACCCCGAAGACGCTTTCCGCAGACGAATTCTCCGA